TGGATGGTTTGGTAGTTGATTGAATCAGAATGCTTTGGAGCTTTGCCGCGCGAAAACGAATGGCAGCCATGAGAGGTGAAAATATCTTCTTCCCAAGTTTCTTGCGGGAAAATTTTATGTTCGGCTGGATAAATAAAAATGTCTTCTAAGCTAAATATATTTTTATTACTTTATATAGCTTATGGTCGGTAGTCTCATGGTTTTAAAACATGTTTGTAAATTTTGTATATTTATAAATCTAGAGTAGTTTATAGAGTGTCGTGCAAAAGAAAAAAAATCTTTATACCGCTAATAAATATTGTCTGTTTTAACCCGTTATGTATCATTGTTAGCCTCATAGTTTTAAAACACGTTTGTTAGGGAAAAGTTTTCACGCCCTTTTAAGGAATGCTTCATTCTCCTCTCAAACTGATGTGAAATCTCACAATTCACCTCCCTTGGGGGCCCAACGTCCTAGCTGGCACATCGCTAGATGTCTAGCTCTAATATCATTCTCAAACTGATGTGAAATCTCACAATTCACCTCCCTTGAGGGCCCAACGTCCTAGCTGGCACACCACTAGATGTCTAGCTCTGATATCATTTGTAACAAATTTTCATGCTCTTATAAGGAATGTTTTGTTCTCCTCTCTAATCGATGTGGAATCTTACAATCTACCCCCATTAAGGCTCAGTGTCCTTACTAGTACACACCACTCGGTGTTTGGCTCTAATATCATTTGTAACTGTCCAAGCTTATCATTAACAAATATTATCCATTTTAGTTCATTCCGTATCGCCGTTAGCCTCGTGATTTTAAAAATATCTGGTGAAGTTTCACAAATTTTATCCCTCCCAAATAAATACAAATAATATAAAAAAATATTAAGTGAAATGCATTATTTTATATTTCATGTATATAATAAATAAAATTATGTGTTATTTTTAGAATATGCATGATCCATGCTTCTAGAAATGCATGATTCCTATCAAGTTATTAATTAATCTTGCTTTTATTATCTTTCTCGAGTTATCGATCACGTTTGATATTTTAGTCGAAGATGAAAGAATTAATATTTTAAAAAAAAAAAAAAACTTTTAATAATAGTCAAGTAACTGAGTATTGTGATAGTGAAGGCGTGGTTGAGATTCTAAGAAAAAGTCAATACAAACGTTCAGATCGAATAGCTTCACGAGACGGCCCAAGAATTTCGTGAATCAAGCGTGGGGCTTAAAGACTCTACCTCATTTTAGCCTCGAGGCCTAAAATTGTCGTTTCTCCTCTTCCACTAATGAATAGTGAATTTCCTTTTCTTAAGTAATATTTTGAATTCTAACTTTTTTTTTTTCTTTAAATAATATGAACTGAGAAATTACATCATCAACTTTTAAAATAATAATTGAATTCCTATTCAATCATGCCATCGTACATGTAACAATAATTAAATAATTAAGTATTAATCAAATAATTCTAGACGATACATTGATAAGAGTGAAAATGACTTTTTATTAAAAAAAATTAATTAATTTAATCGAAACATAATCCATTGAAAACGAAACTTCTCAAAGATTTAGAAGTCTATCTAATGAGTTGACGTACACTATATCTTACATCAATTTAAAAACTATAATTATATTTAAAAGGAAAAATTAGGTCGCTCGTAATTAAATTACTTTAAAAAAAAATTTAAGTTTAGATTAATTTATTTTCTTCACTCAATCCCATGGTTTTACAATAGAAAAAGAAAAAAAAAAAAGATTGAGATGTCGGTGATTTGAGTTTAATCATTTTTTTTAGACTTAACATAAACGTAAATTTGGATTGATTCGAGTCGTTCGAGTCATTTATTCAAATTTTTATTTTTAATAAAACTAAAATATTAGTATATAAAACATTTGTTTATTTAGTTTCAAACCTTAAGATTTACAACCGAATAAAATAAATACATGGATCTTACAATAAACAAAAAAAAATATTTTTTTAAACTAACGATAAATTCAAATTCGTTTAATTCAACCTAATCTAGTTTTAGAGTAATTCATGAACGGATCGAATTCATAAAATTTTCGTTCTTATTTAATTAAACTCAACTAAAGTAAGTTCATAACTCAACCTATACCGCACGAGTTAGGTTGGTTTAGGTTGGATCGAATTTTTCGAATTATCAAATTCGTTAATGACCCGAAAATTAGCTTCTTTATTGGAAAATTTGTATACACAAAAAAAGTATTAGGTATACAAATTTGTAAGAGGACAAAGCCACTTGTGTTTGTGTTCGTTGCCAATATCACTTCATGTTGGCTGAGTGTCAGCAATTTTTGACTTATTCTCCAAGATTCTTTGTACTTGCCAAATTAAATTAGTCTTTTATTTTATTTTAATTTTGGCCCTTTTTATTTTGTGTTCGAATTATAATAAAATTATAAATTTAATTTCGAAAATTTGAAAGAAAATATTAGACCCGAGCGTATTTGTCAAGTCGGGAGTTTGTTGGACAAATTCATGGGTTTCAATAGTACCTAGACCCGAGCGGCCTATATAAAGCTAAGTTTTTAAAACCCGAACATTCTTTTAAACTTTTGAATTTAAAAATAATGGCTTAGGTACGTGTGTGATTATTTATTTATTTTCAAATTTATTATTCTACCTTTATAAATAATTTTTAATTATTTAAAAGGTATTTTTTTAAAAATTAAATTATAAATTTAAATAAATGTTTGAAAATAAAAATTTAAATAAATAATTTTATTACAGTCGCTCGAAATTTCCCAACTATTATATTAAATTTTTCACGTAAATTTATAAAGAATTAATTAAATATAAAATTAAAAATTAAAAGTTTTTAAATAAACTAATATACGTGTAATATAGCATTTTTTTTCCCGCCGCACGTGTATTGTGCGTATTATATATGTATATATTTACTGGCTCCAGTTGGTCCTACGTGGCAAATTTCAATTTCCGATAATTATTTAACAAAAAGGAAAATAATTATTAATAAACAATTGCATCATTCTTTTCTTACTACCGAAAACGACGTCATTTTCCTAATCAGAACCGAACTGATATAAAAAAATTTACCCAATAAATAAATAAATAAATAAAATTTCAATAAGGTGATGTTGACACGTCACCTTATAATCGCACGTCATCTTAATCGCATTGTCAACGTGGCGGGCATCCACGGTGGGTGGCGGTAGTGGGGCCCACTATTAGCCGCCCAGATTGCGAAAACCCGTGGATGAGCTTTTCTGACGATGACCAGCAGTGGGACCTACACAACTGGATTATTTATTTATTTATTTTCCTATAATGATATGGCCTAAAATGACTGCTAAACTTAAGCCCCCACCACCACCACCGCCACCACCACCACCACCACCACCAACCACAGTTTACGTACGCTTGGTTTCTCACGCGCCGCCGTATCCTTGTGGGTTCTTTTTGAATTTTTGACTGTGGTCGCCAAATGTGTGTATAAATCCCGAAGGGTCACGTGGCGCGTGGTTCTCATGCGCTGACGTCGTGTGGGGGTGGGGGTGGTGGATGGTATTTGGTTCATGGTCCTCTTGCTGGTTTGACTGTGCAAGCAATTTAAATTGTATATTTTTATATTTATTGAATATCTTAGATATATTCATATTTTCATCGTCAATAAAATCTACATTTTTGTTTACATCAACTTTTAAAAAATATATTTGTTCCCGACAAATTCTCTAAATTCGGCTGAAAAAAGATGTATTTATAGAAAAAAAGTCCTATCATAACGTCAAGATGCTAGCTCGTTGTCCCAATATTTACCAAAATTTCTTGAGACACGTGCACGTGTTATTTCGTTAAGTTCTATAGCATCGAGACGGTATGAGCAACATACCAACTTTATGGTCCCGACCATAATGGCCTAGAGTTGTTGCAAAACTTCAATTATTTCTTTTTTTTAAATTCAAGTGAAAATATAAAAAATAGTTCTATATTTTCATATGGTATTTTAAGTTTACATGATATATATCATAGATTATCATAGACGTTTTAGAGTAATGGGGCTACGAGAATAGGTTAAACCAAAGTCATATGCTAAGTTTTAGTAAGTAGTTTGTCTTCCTATTTGTGAGTAGTTTTTTAACATTTTAATTTAAACCTTACGTGAATTTATTAGTTATAGTTCTAAGCTCTCTCATTGGTAGGAGTAGAAAAGGTCCTCCGACATCATACATTTATAATTTTTTAGGATTTTGCTCGATAAATATTTACTTTTTAAAAATTAAATTATAAACATTTCTTTATTTTTTTTAATCCATCCATCTTGAAAATTGAAATCAAGTTTCGACATAAATATATATTTCAATTTTTGAAACTTGACTAAGAATTCAACGGTTTATTTAGGAAAAAGTGAAATCTATGGTTAAAAGAAAAAAAAAAAGAAATAATATGAAAAGTAATGAAAGATTTTTTTTTTTTTTTTTAACATTTTAACCACAAAAATATTACAATAAATTCAGCAAGTTTGCCCGAGAGGTTAAGGGGGAAGACTTAAGATCTTCTGCACATAAGTGCGCATGGGTTCGAACCCCATAGCCTGCAACACTTTGGTTATTTGAATGAACCAAAATAAAATAAGCAGAAAAAAGAGTATGCGATCTCACTTGGTGCCTCGATTAACCGAACTTAGACCATAACCTTAGCCACCCATTTGGACTATTACGGCCCACGTGCTGACTTGATTAGCAAAACTTGGACCAACCATAACCTTGGCCAACCAGTCATGCCAAAGAGAACTAGACCATAACCGGCGCGTGACTTTCACGCGCGCCTAATGAAAGTGGTAGAAATTGAGAAAAAAAAGGCAAAAATAGAAAACAAATCTCGAAGATCTAGGGAAAGTGGGATCAAGAATGAGCCATCCAAAGAGGATTTGAAGACAAAAGGCGGCGCGTGGATGTCACGTTGAACAACCCACTAAGCATATTAACAAATCAAATGCATCAAATGCATGGGTTTTCTTTTAGAAGTGAGAACAGAGTGGTGGCTCTCTCTCTCTCTCTCATATACGATACCGTCAAATCTCCACCATCTCTCATTTTTCTTCAAAAACAGCTACACACTCTCTCTCTAACTTTATCCCACCATTTTATCCCTCTCTTCACCTCTGCCATTTCTTGTTTGGACTCAAAAACCTTTACCATTTTTCTCTCTCTTCTATTTGTACTACGACTCCTCACAAAACTAAGCATAATTCTACTTGTTCTCTTCTTCTTCTTCTTCTTCATTTCTCTCTCTCTCTCATCAATACCCATTTGTTCTTATCCTTTCTCATCAACAACGCACCTATGAAGGTCTCTTCTTTTTCTTATTTGATCTAAAAAACAATGCCTTTTTCTCTTTCTTTTATGTTTCTTACGAGAATCCAAGACGTGGGTATTAGAGATTGGATTCTCTCATGTTGGATTCCCACAAAAAAATCAAATCTTTACTTTCTTTTTTCAATTTTCGTGGATTCCGATGATGTTTTTCTAGTGGGTTTTTCATTTTTGTTGAAATAGATCGAATTAGATCTCTTATTTTTGGATTTGGGTTTTTGCAGAAGTTCATATTGAAGCTTGATTTGCACGATGACAAGGCCAAACAAAAGGCTTTGAAGACCGTATCAACACTTTCAGGTTCATTTTGTTTCTATGATGTTCTTGTTTTGTTCTTCCTTTGAAGTGAAGCTAATTCTTAATCTACTAGGATTGCTTAGAGACATAATTTCCTTTGAAAATTACATGTCTTTCTCAAGACAAATTCTGTTGGTTGTTTGTGTATGTTGATCGATTTTGATCCTCTAACTTACCCAACCCCACCACCAAACCTAACCCACATGCCCTTCGGCTGCTTTTCACTTTTCATTAAAAAAGAATGATTAACAATTTTTTATCATTTAAAAAAAAAAAAAAAAACCCATTTCAAAAATTTTCCATCCACAATATTCTTTGAACTTCAAATCAACCTTGATTTTGGTCTAATAAGGAATATTCTTCCTAGAGAAAAAGGTGGCTCATCTAGCACCCTCAATTATATGAAACGATCTCGTAATCTTCGATTTTGATATCGTGTAAAACGATTATAGTTCAATCACCTAAAAGTTGATAGGTAAATATCTAGATATTTGTGTTCTATTACTATATTTTATAGGTATCATATTTACTTTTTTAGTATAGTCAAATATCTCGTATCCATTTATTGTTCTTTCTAATTAGTTAAGGGATGGCAGGGATTGATTCAATTGCGATGGACATGAAGGAGAGGAAGCTGACAGTAATTGGGACAGTGGATCCAGTGAATGTAGTAAGCAAGCTGAGGAAGTATTGGCCAACAGACATAATCTCAGTAGGGCCAGCAGTGGAGCCCAAAAAGGAGGAACCAAAGAAGGAGGAGCCCAAAAAGGAGGAACCAAAGAAGGAAGAAGCGGGCAAGAAGGAGGAGCCAAAGAAAGAAGGAGAGGCTAAAAAAGACGACGCAAAGAAAGACGAGCCGAAGAAGGAGGACGACAAGAAAGACGAGCCGAAGAAAGACGGTGAAAAGAAGGAGGACGAGAAGAAGAAAGAGCCACCGCAGGTCGCTGTGCCAGCACCGATGCCGATACCGATGCCGATGCCAATGCATATGCCGATGCATATGCCGATGGCGATGCCTATGTATATGCAGCAACCTGACCCAGTAATGGACATGGTCAAGGCTCATAGACCATATAACCCTCACTTGACCAGTCATTACCATGTCCATAGCATGGAAGAGAACCCAAATGCTTGTGTTATTTGTTGAGTATTACAATGTCTATGGTGCCTTAAGCTAAGGCATTTTGGAAGCCAAACCTACTACCCCTTGAAGCTAAAGCTCCCTCTTGTAGATAAAAAAACAAAAAACAAATATTATGTCTTTTTGGTGTTTTATTTACCCAATATTTTAGTTTAATATGTAGAAATATTCAATAATTTTGGCTCTTTTTTACTATTTTACTCTAAACTTTCTAAACGTTCTAAACTTTCAAATGTTATAGTCAAAAAGTAAACTTAATGTTCCATCTATGATATTAATTATATTGTGAAATTTTCAATGTCAAAGGGGTAGTAATGTGTGGAGTTAGGTAGTTGGTCAAAATAAAACATAACCCCATTAAATTAAGAACATAAAATTTCAAAGCTACGATTGCAATGTCATCTCCCATCAAATCAAATTGAAATGTGCTGACATGTCAAAGGTATACACGTTTGCAAGTTCTTAATTCTACGTATATGTGAGATTCCACGTTGGTTGGAGAGGGAAACGAAACATTCATTAGAAGGGTCTGGAAAACTTTCTCTAGTAGACGCGTTTTAAAAACTTTGAGGGGAAACTTGAAAAGGAAAGCCCAAAGAGGACAATATCTGCTAACGGTGGGCTTGAGCTGTTACAAATGGTATTAAAGCCAGACATTGGGTAGTGTGCAGCGATGAGAGTGAGCCACTAATGGGGTGGATTGTGAGATTTCACATCGACGGGAGAGGGGAATGAGTGTCAACGTCTTTATAAGGGTGTGGAAATTTCTCTCTAGTAGATGCATTTTAAAAACCCCGAGGAGAAACTCGAAAAGGAAATCTCAAAGAGGACAATATCTGCTAGGGTGGACTTGAGCTATTACAAATGATATTAAAACCAGACACCGTGTGCCAGTGAAGACACTGGGCCACCAATGAGGGTGGATTGTGAAATTTTACATCGGTTGGAGAGGGAAACGAGTGCTAGCAAGGACGTTGGACCCCAAAGAGGGGTGGATTGTGAGATCCTCATTGATTGGAGAAGGGGAACGAATGCCAGCAAGAATGCTGGGCTCCGAGGGGGAGGGGTGGATTGTGAGATCCCATATCAGGTGGAGATGAGAACGAAACATTTCTTATAAGGGTGTGAAAACCTCTCCTTAATAGACGCGTGCCCGAAAGGGAAAGTTCAAGGAGGACAATACCTACTAACGGTGAGCTTGGAGTTTTACAGTACCAGCTCGAGACCTCATAATTTATCACAAAAAGATTTCTCGACCCTAACCCACTAGACCCTAATTCCTCTTTTACATCACATGGGTATGTGTTCTAGGACAAAGAAATGCACTTAAAAAGATGGCAACATAAAGTTGTTTCTTTTTGAGGATGTGATAATTAATTTACGAAGGGTGTTTATTAGAAAGAGTTGGATGATTATTGGTTGCTTTCTTGGAGTTTTGGTGGATGATATGCATTTTGAATAGGGTTTGTGGGGCTTGTTTGGAGCTAATGGAGCCCTCCCTCTTTCTTGTATGTGTGTGGAGGATGTGAATAATTGGCTCTCTTCTTCCACCTCCAAGAGAAATGGCATTATTTTGTTGGAAAGATGTTACCTTGGAGAATTTTTTCTTTGTCAATTCATAATGCATCACTTTCCATTCAAAGAGAATATTTTCATGCCTTTCCAAATAAAATAGAGACAACATTGTACACAACAATATCAAGTACCATGAGATTGCTTTTAAATTTTAGTGTCAAGAACAAAGATATCAAAATGAGAGCGATCCTGAGGATATGATGACTAAGAGAGGTTAGAAGAATTGAAAGTTACCACTATACTAACAAGGTGAACCTTTCTTTTCGGTAGCTTAATTATAATAACTCCAAAATTAAGTATGTTTTGCATGAAATAATTATATATTAGGTGACCTTGTGTGAATTTTCGTAAGATGCATGTGAGTGAAGACAAAACATGCCGAAAGGACCTGTGTTGGTTTGTGGGGATAGTTATCAATCTTAAAAGCGAGAAATAAGTAACCTAACCATAAAGCAGGGGAACGTTGGATACATAGAAACTTAGCTTACATAACGCCGTTCATAGATGACCAAGTTTAGCAACAAAATATGTTGAAAGGATTTGTGTTGATTTGTGGGGATAGTTATCACTCTTAAAAGCGAGAAATAAGTAACGTGACCGTAACGCAGAGGATGCACGAGAATGTTGAACATTATCGTTTATATATTTTCGATGCAAGACCACCTTTTATCCCTTTGTTGTACACCTTACTTTTTGTCCCCTTGGACTTATTTAACCCAGGGGTCTCAACGTCTGTGTAGCTCAACTAAGGTCATATTGCTAGTTCCTTTAAGCTTATTAGTACGTAGTGTTACTACTATTAGGGTACTTTCCTTAATCAAATCACATGTCATAGGCATGTAATGAATGACCTTACAACTAATAGAGCACTAACGTAGTCAAATCACGTATCTTATAATGAGTGACCTAGTAAATGTTAGGGCGCTATCCTAGTCAAAACGCATATCGTTTAGGAGTAACCTTACAATAATTAAGGCACTACTCTAGTCAAATCATCTATCGTTCAAGGAGTGACTTTGTACCAATTAGGGCACTACTCCGGTAAAATCATATAGAGGGACCAAATTAAGCTTAATGACTACCAATCAAGCTACTTATCATCCATTAATCATTTAATACCTCAATACGTCAAACTCAATCATGTTCTAATTATATTTTTGACGTCTAACTGTTGGTGGGTTGGATTGGGTTGAATTGAAACGGTTCTTAGATCTAACTAAACTGTTCGAGTTTCAACTCTGATTAAATAATGAACTCAACTCAACCCAACTGAATCATAAAGTTTTGGATTGAACTTGTTTGGGTTTGTCATAGCGATATTTGTGGGTTGGGTTGGGTCCGATTGAAACATTTTTTAGACCTAACTCAATTGTTTCTTAAAATTTTTCAACAAAAATAGCCTTTATTAAATAATAAACTCGACCCAATTCAACCATAAATGTTTAGGTTGGGCTGGTTCAAGTTGTTTGAGTCATTTATTTAATTTTTTTTTGTTTTTAATAAAAGTAAAATATTAGTTCCTAAAACATGTATTTATTTATTTTCAAATATTTAATTAAGATTTACTCTTTAATTAAAATTATATTTTAAAAATTAACTTTTAAATAGTTAAAAATTATTTTAAAAAATAGGAGAATAAATAATATAAAATAATTATGAAACTAAATAAAAAAAATATATATATATATATTATATATAATTACATCATAAAAATGAATTTAGTTTCTTCCACTAACACGTTATTGTAAGGTATCCATGAACCAACTCAACCTATAAAGTTTCATTTATTTCAACTTAATTCTATACAAGTAAGTTCGTAATCCAACTGAAACTATATATATTGAGTTAAGCTGATCGGATTTTTCGAATTCAAATTTGGTTGATTATCTTCTCATTGTTCTATCAACCTCTGTATGGTTCTTTGTCACAAAAACAAATCCTCACCGATCATACTATTAATTGTGCTCTAACGTAAAAAAAAAAAAAAAAACGTTTGTTTATGTAATACTTTAATGATTTATATTTCTAGATTCACTAAAAAGTTCATATACAAACAAAATAGTCGATCATAAAGACTAAATTCAGAAGCCAATTTTTATTTTAATTCGACTCGTTTTGAAACTATGTTTTTTTCTTTTTTTTCGAATCTAGACGAAGAATAACAAAAATCTCTCCAAAATTCGATCTCTATTGACTTTTTGGTACCAATCCATTAATGAAACGTGGGTTTGATTTTAGAAGCCCTATTGAGTTTTCTTGTTTGAATTTATTAATCTTCTTTGAATGCTATTGACCAATTAATTTCGTTCAGACTTGAAATCCCAACGTTCAGACTCGAAATCCCAAAACATACCATATACGTTTATACCATAAAAAGGTTGAACGCCAACTTTACAAAGTTTGATATATAAAAATTTAAGTTAATATCCATAAAATTTATTTTTTTTTTTCTAAAAATCAATAATACTCTTATACTTAAAAAAAAATAAATTAAAAACACTCTTGAACTTTTAAGATACTCTTAAAAATTTAATAAAATACACTTAATTTAAGAAAAAAAAGTTTAAAACTACCTTTATGATTAGAATATAAACGGAACAGTTAGTACACAATTCAAATATAGCTATAAACTTTAAAAAACAACTTTAAACCCTTCAAATTTTTTAAAAAATTAATATTTTTTTTGTTACCGTTAATATGTTGAGGATTATTAGGAGTGAGTCCCATATTAGCTAATTTAAAGAATGATCATGAGTTTATAATTGAGAAGTACTATCTCTATTGATATGAGGCATTTTGGGAAGCCCAAAGCAAAGCAACGAGAGCTTAACCTCAAAGTGGACAATATCATATCATTGTGGAGAGTCTGATTTTTAACATGAAAAAACTAACTAACTTATAAATTAGAAAAAAAAAGTCTTAATGTAACAACGAACTCATGAACATATCGTTAATGCATTCAACACATCACATTCGAGTAAAAGTGACCAAAAGCTTAACTTTTTTTTAAAACAAACTTGGAACCTTTTAACTTTTTATATGAATTGAAAACAACAAAATGTTAACATCGATGTATTGACATCATTATCTTTAACAATTTTCCGCCGACCATACTACTAATTGTAGTCTTAAATGGAAGTTCTTATTGTCGTTCTCAAATATTCTAAATAGTTACGCATTCGTTTTTATTCATTCATCGTTCAACAGCTACTCTTATGCATTATTGTCTTCCGTTTATCAATTTACATTTCTAGATCCACTAAACATTCATAAACAAACAAAATAGTCGATCCGAGTCGATCCCACCGACCATCTTCCCATAGAAGCCAATTTTTATTTTAATTCGACTCATTTTGAAATTATCTTATTTCCCCAAAATTCATATCCTTCAACTTTTTGGTGCCAATCCATTAATGAACGTGGGGTTGATTTAGAAGTCCATTGGGTTTTGTTGTATGATTTAATTATTTTCTTTTTGCCAACTTTTTCGTGGTCAAGCCCATCGATTTAAATATTTATTATTTGTTTCTTATCATTTTCTTATCAGCTAATAGGATAGTTTTCTATTTGAGCTGAGGAAAAAGGGTGCTAGAAGATTCAT